TTCATCCCGCCAATAGTTTGAAAAATCATTTCCACTTTCATACTCGGATGAATTAAGGGAGAGGGCTGACATGTATAGACATCCCAAAAGAATATACCATCTGATGTGCCGGTGCAACAGGGAAGAACACATCACTGCCGAGTATTCAGTTCTTCTGGTGCACCAGGAAACTGTAATATCAATATCACATGACAATCAACAAAATAGCTATGGCATAAAGTCCAAAGAGTATAACTTTCCAGTAGAATGCAAAGAGGTAAATAATTGGTTTCTAAAGGAAAACATGACCAATAGCCAACAAGAAATATAAGAATCTCATGTGCACGCTTATTTGGACATTCGGAAACAGTTTTCATGAATGCATCGAACCGGCACAAATGGGATCGGTTTCTTATTTTTTGATGATATGTGAACAGCCTGATAGGTTTAATTCTGAATCCTATTCAGTAACAGACATGCCCTTGAAAGAAAAAGTTAACCAAGCCTCGTGGCCCCAAAGTAGCATTCTAATTCAGATTACTACTCAGAGAAAACTCATGCTACGCGCCATGGCTTCAAAGTTGCACTCTAATACAGCTCATTACTCTTAATGAAAGTGATTTTCTAGCAGACAAATTAAAATCTGTCATGAAACCTGAGCTTGATGAAGCCGGTGCCTGAGAGAAAACTCACGCAACGCGCCATGGCTTCAAAGTTACATTCTAATTCAGCTCATTACTCTTAGTGAGAGCGATTTTCTAGCAGAAAAATTAAAGACTTCGATGAAACCAATGTTTGAAAAGGCCAGTGTCAGATACGCATCATGGCTTCAGAGCTGCATTCTAATTCAGCTCATTACTCTCAACGATACCAATTTCTAGTACGAAAATTGAAACCTGTAGTGCTTGACAAAGCCGTGTCTCTAAGAGAAAGCTTTTGCTAGACACCATGGCTTCAACACCATATTCTAATTCAGCTCATTGTTCTTAACGAAAGCGATTCCTAACAGGAAAAATGACAAAACTAGATTGCGAAATTGTGTAAAAGAACAAAAACAGAAGCCATGAGGTAAATCACTTGCAGCTCGCAACCACTGAAACTATAAACAATTCAGCAACCTGAGAAAGAAAAAAAGAGAGAGAGAGAAGAAAATCCAGCTACTTACCTCATCAAGAGTCAAAACGCTCGAAATGGTCTACAGCAATCATCCGTTTGATGCAAGCCAACACTTCAGTCCCATCCCTACGGCATCTTTGCAAGTATAGTTGGGCCGATCTTATTTCGGAGGTTAGTTTTATAATATCTTTACAAAATTTAATTTTGTTACTTTTTTTTTTAGGAATAATAAATTGCTTTCCTTCATTTCGTCGTGTTTGATCCGCGGTGTTGTAATTATGTTTACAGATTTATAAATTTTTTCAATTTAATATATTTTATTTAAAACCTACAAAATTATTATAATTTATTAACTTATTATTTCGATTAAATCTCCTCCCTAGGCTAACTTACAAATGTGAGATTATGATGGCGTATTATTAATGTACAGTAATCTTTTTTTTTTTTTTTTTTATATTGAAAAGTATAATATAATACAACAAGAATAAAGACAATAAATATATAATTATTAATGAAGTAACATTATCAAATAATTATCAACACTTCTAATTATATATATAACACTAAATTATTTTGTTACCATTTAAGATAATATCTTAAAAACCTTGAAAATAAAGGGCATTGAATCTTTCACATAAGGGTAATCTGCGTATTTGAGATTAGACCAAATTCGTGGTATGCATCCCTAAATTAAACTTCCTTATATTTACATCTTCAAAAACAAAAACAAAGTTTTATTAAAATATATAGAAGGTATGCCTTAGCATGAAATTAGTTGATTATATTAAGTCAATTTCAAGGGTTCATTGTATAGAACCGATTAATAAATGTTTGATTTTAATATAAAAAAAAAAATTATTGATTTTAATATAAAAAATATATATATATATATATATATATATATATATATATATATATAAATATCTATAATTTTGTAATTAAAAAATATATAAAATCAGCACCATAATTTTTTGAAGAATGAAGATGATTTTCTTTGTATAACTCTCTATTTCATATCGAAGAAAAAATTTTCATTTATAATATTAAAATAAAAATGTTTTAAAAAAATGCGTAAGAATCAAATAATTGTGTTTGACGTTGCATAGAAAGTGTTATTTTATTTTTATTAAGTATTATTAAAATAATTTAACTAATTAAATTTAAATTTAAATTTTAGATTTTAAGTTTATTTTGTTATAAAAGTTAATAATTATTATTTTAATAAAATTATATAAACTTTTAATTATTTTACAAGGATTATATTTCAAAAATTAGGTGTTGTATATGGTGAAATGAATCGTTAAGCGAGATATACTTATATACTATTATAATAATTTGTTAATAAAATAATAAAAAATATTTATGTATAAAATAATTATTACAATTAATACTTAATTAATTTGTATTACTTGTTGTTTATTATTAATAATTACAACTACATTTGAATCAATTATTTGTACTTCTAAGATAAATAAATTTTTTTTAAAAAAATATACATATATATTATATTATTAAATACAAAATTAAATTTTAGTTTAAATATAGTAATTTTAATTAGTTAGTTGTAATTTGTACGGTAACTTTTAAGGAGGGAAATGGGACACGGAACAAATCAAAGGGAGGAAAGTCAAAATAAAGGCACGTGAAAGGATGACAGGCCATGAACGAGTGACCTGCTTTGAAACTAAAATCATTCTGTTGATTTGTGATATCTAACTTTGTATGTATATGCATATTTTATCTGGATAGTCTAAGTCCAAAAAATTAAGACATATATATAGTAATTCTACTAAGTCTAAATCAGGTTAGTAGTGACACTACTATAATAATTTAAGTCTAGAATATCAAGTTATTACACTATTATCTAATATTTATTTGGAGTTATGATCGATCGAAAACTATATAATATATAGTATTTGATACAACGATACATAGCGGAAATTTGGGTGTTTATATTTTAGTTAATATTATATTAATGTAATAAGGTGACTCATACTCAATTTGAGATATTATTTGAAGCAAGACCAAAATAAATAGTTTTAAAACTTAGAAATGGAGAATTCAGTAATTAACGTGCTGTCACAACTCAGTGTTCTCCGTCCTATCAAAAGTAGATACTCAAAAAGGCCATTCCATTTGTTTCCCCAAGTTAAAGGGACTCAACATATTCGTATTCATACATAAATTACGTGCCGAACTCGCTTCTCTTCTAAACGTGCTGCCCATGAAACCCAAACACAGAGCCAGAGCACTCAACATTATAAAGCCATTCGTGTTCTTCCCTTCATCCTTCAAACACCAAAATGAAAACCCATTTCCCAGCATCGATTCTAGTGCTTTTTTCTCTTCTAACCCTCTTCCAATTTGGTTTCTCTTTGGACATTGTTCAACGCTCCTGCAAACTAGCTGCAAAAAGAGACCCATACGTTGATTACAAGCTCTGTGTTAAGAGCCTACGAGCCAACCCCAGTTCAAAAGATGCAACGTTCAAGGATTTAGTCCTGATTTCGATCGAGCAATCGAAGGCCAATGCGACGGCAATTGGGTCGGAGATTACGGGGCTCTTAAAGGGCGGTGGGAAATGGGGGAAGTATTCGTCGAGTTGTTTGGAGAGCTGTTTGGAGGTTTATTCTGAGGCTGTTTCGGATTTGAAATTGGGTTTGGTTGCTGTCAAAATGGGGGATTATGAAACTGCGAATACAGAGGTGAGTGCCGCCATGGATGCACCTTTGACTTGTGAAAATGGGTATAATGAGAAGGATGGGGAAGTTTCTCCTTTGACAGAGAAGAACGGTGGGTTCTTTCAGTTGACTGCGATTTCTCTGGCTTTTATCAGTTTGTGTCAGTGATAGCCTCCGTTTTTTAATTTTCAAGAACTAATATGAAGTTTTCTTTAAGTATTTTGGTGTTTGATATTATGTTTTTGTTGAATGTTTGTTAGTGTTTTGTTGCAGAGTAATGTGATTTTTGGTGTTTGCTGAATGAGTACGAAATTTGCGTGTTTATATCCAAGTTTGAGAACGATTTTGATATTTTAAGTTATAGCTTGGGTAGGAGTGGATTAAAAAGTTTATAAAGTTTAATTATAAATTTGATCTCTAAATTCTCTATTAAATTATTTCATTTTAATTTATAAAATTCAAATAATATTTTAATCTAATAATTTGTAGTTCAAAACAATAACGGAAAATAAAACATTTCGAACATCTCACTTTTTTTTACATTTTTATTGAAAATAAACGTAATTAATTAAGTTATGTTCAGGTTGATATTTATGTCTCATAATTAATGAGTCACTAAAATTTTTAATTTATGTTTAATGAGATTTTAAATTTTAAATTTTTAAATTTTTTTGTCTAACGTTTTTAATCTAAAATATATTAAAAAATTGAAAATTTTATTAAATACAAAATTATAAAACGACAATTTAGATATTTTATAAAGTATTTCTTGGTAAGTAATAATTGAAATATATTCATTTTTTTAATATTATGTTATACATTTAGATGACGAGAATAAAAATGTAAATATATATTAATCTAAATAAAAGAATTCATCATTTATAAATAAATAAATATAACTATTTATTCAAACACATCAGATCAAACATTACATCCTAATATTTCATAAAATTCACATTTCTTTTAACATTATTTTATTTTCCTATTTAGATTATTACTAAATTCAACAATATATAAAAATTTAAAGTTATTTTCCTGTTTATGAAATGTGAAAGCTATTGTTTCAATTATTAAAAGAATTGAATTATGTTTAAAACAAATTACAAAATTCAATTTTTTTTTTTTTTAATAAATTTAACCCAGGAATGTTTTGAATAAGGAATTGGAGCGGGTAAGAACGAACCGATTAGCCCGACCGACCCGTTGGCTCATATCTTAGATCCTCACCGAGTAGTGCGAAACTGAAAGCAGAATCAGATCAAAGGAAGAAAGACAAACTGAGCCAAAAGCCAGAGTTCCATTGCAACTGGCCTCGGCTTCATCGTCTCATTCAGAAATCTCCATCTTAATCCGATAATTATTCCTCTGTTGGAAACGAAAACCAGAGATCTCTGCGGGTATGGCACCGACGTCAGCTCTGGCGAAGTACAAGCTGGTCTTTCTTGGAGACCAGTCTGTTGGAAAAACCAGTATCATTACACGCTTCATGTACGACAAATTCGATAATACGTATCAGGTAATTCCCGGATGAATCGTCAATTGTGTAGATCCTTGTTTGTATCACACGTCGGGGTCGGATCGGTTCGGAAACTGTTACTGAATGCCTGATTCTGTTGGTTTCATCTTTAATTTTGGTTTATCTTGTTTCTGTCTGCAGTTTTCTTTGTTTGTGTTTGGCTTTCTGTCCTGTCGCTTCTGGTTGTATCATTGAGAAGGATCAGAACTCGATGTTTTAGTTTTTAGATCCTTTTGATTTTTATTCATATGCGATCAGCATTTTCTTTGCTCAGTGTGTATTTGTTTGAATATATTGGTTCTTAGTCAAGAATTCAGTCATTTAGCAAATTTTTAAGTCTGTGATTCTCACCTTGCTGATTCCGGGTGAATGATGTTCAGATTTTACAGCTGTTTGTTGTCAGCAGCTTTAGTCTGTACTGTAGTGCTTGAATACTGAGTACGCCTTGCAAAAATTGAATCGAAATGAGGAGAAGGGCGGATTTTCTTTGATGCTTCTCTTTCAGCTAAATCGAATTTAGATCGTTATCCTGGAATCTTGCTAACTTTTGTGGACTGAAAAGCTTTTTGGTCTTTACTTCCCCGATTATACTTTGTTGGATTGTTAGAAGAATATGTTGGCTGACTTTGTACGATAAGTAACCACTGTTATACGACCTCGCATTTCAAATGTGTAGTCCTCTCATGGAGTTGAGTGGGCATTATTAATAATTCAACTGCTAACTTGATAGTGCAATTATGTGTTCTATGTATGTTAAAGGTGCTTTGATTGGACTTTTGGGACATTTTTGTCATTGTCTCTATAAAGAGCAGGATGTATGGAGGAAGCAGATAAACAGTGATTGATGTCCAGTGGATATCTAGGTTGTCCTGATTAGTTTTTAAGTTGTTAAGAACTATGAAGATACTAGATTCATTATTTTTTATGGCACGTTAGTATTGTTTTAAAAAAATTACTTGGATGTTGTTCTTTTCAGCGCATCAATTGGAGCTTTTTGTGATTATTCTTTTTTAGTCTTGACCGAATAGAGAGGTTTAGTAATTACTTCTTGATTGTATGAATGCACCCTTGTAGATAGATACTTCCATGTCTCTTAATCTTTGTTTTTTTTTCCCTTCTTTTTCTTTGTAATTTCTGGTGAATACTAGTTCTTTTGAAATTTCAGTTTCAAATTCATACCCCATATTCGCTTCTTTCAATATATTAATGTCTATGCCTTTGTTCAGGCTACAATTGGTATCGATTTTCTCTCAAAAACTATGTATCTTGAAGATCGCACTGTTCGGCTGCAGTTGTGGTAAGATTCATTATATTTTACGGTTGCTCATACATAGGTGACTACTTTCTATCGGTTTTGCTAATTGTCATTACTCTTCTACAAGAATAATCATTAAATCACATTTTGTGCTTGTATATTAAGCACGTGCTTTCTTTGTCCTATAAATTAAGAACTTGTATGATTTACTTGCACGAGTCCATGACCTGAATGATAGATTTCAACAACATGAACATTATGATTAACCCAAGATAGCTATTTCTCCTGATTAAATCTATTCTCTTTGGAAATTTGAAAACAAATTCCAAGGTACATCCCCTTGAGGTGGAAACCTGAAAGTTCTGCATTTGGAATTCCTTTCTGAAGTAAAATTCTAAAAAATATTTGAACTGGTATGCCGCTCCTTTTTGTAGAGGTGAGAGGCTCATTTTCTGCGGGGCAGCCACCATATTGGATGCAATGCAGCTTCTCTCCTGCTTAACCGATGTCTAAATAAAAGCTCCTATAAAACTCATCCCCATCAAAAACAATTCGCTGAACAAATGGGGAGTCATTCCATTAGAGTTTCGTGACTCCTTTTTGAGCCTCTGTCTCGCTAATATTTTCTATCATCATTCTTTCTTTCTGAACATAGCCAATTGGAGAGCTATCATTTTTTTAAGAAATATTCTTAGGCCTGGCTTTGTGCCTTTCATATCTACTTCCACTCAAGGTCGAAAGGAGATACAGAAAAGCTCTTGAAGATTTAACAAATACAGACTTTGGGCAGCTAGACAAGGAACTAATTAGCTTCTTTAGGAACTTCATCTAGAAGCTAGGTAACAAGCAATATTTAATAGATCTCTGCCATCTCTACATTTTCCTTCAAATAAAAAATAATGTTACAGTTGCCCTAATTAAATTTGTCCTTTGTCTGATGAGCATGCACATCTTGTAAATTAATGCATTACTTTTGACTTCTGTGCACTTGTATTTATGATACTTATAATTCCATTTACTTGTAGCGATCAACTGTCTTTAATTGTCTTTCCCAGAAATATGGGTTTTGCTGCACATTTAATTTTTTTTTTTTTTTAATTACTTTGTTTCTCAGGGACACTGCTGGACAGGAAAGATTCAGAAGTTTAATACCAAGCTATATCAGGGACTCATCTGTCGCGGTCATCGTTTATGATGTTGCAAGTATGGATTCTGAAGCTTTCTATAAAATGAGAACAATTAAGCAAAGAAAACCACTTGAATATGTGTATTCTGTCCATGTGGATTTGTCATTTGATGTTGTGGTAAAATGAAATGATTTATAAACTCCTGGGTGGATCTGGGTTCTGATATCTGAGCTTTTTAGGTTCTTAAAATCATATAGTTACTTGATTACATGCTGCGGAGTAATTTCTGTGCCATGATATGCTCAAAGGATTGTTTTTTTTACTGTTTTCACACTGTTGCTACTTAGGCCGGCAGACTTTCGTAAACACTTCAAAATGGATTGAGGAGGTGCGCACTGAGAGGGGCAGTGATGTTATTATAGTGCTTGTTGGGAACAAAACGGACCTTGTGGAGAAGAGGTAATAGTTGGCTATGGATTTTATTTCATATTAAATGTTCAAATCTTTCCACTATATTGTTCAACTCAAATGTTCATGTTGAGTCTTTCCTCTAATATTGTCCAACTCAAGTTTCGTGTTGAGCCTACTCAAACAAAATTTTAATTATCTGTGCCCGAAGTAAGGTTGTGTCTAGAACTCTACAACATTTTTCTTTTTCTTTTCTTTTTTTGTGAAAAATAAATAGCGTGTTATTGAGACCAGTCATTTTTCTATAAGATTTCTGAATATAGCTTTCAAAATCAAGTTTTGGATTTCACCAAGTTAAACATCGAACTTAGGTTTAGTGTTAGGAAAATTAATACTGTATAAAAGTGAATGAAATTATAACGTAACAATAGTAGGAAATAATTCTTAAAAATTTAATATGAACGATTCTTCCTTTTATTTTTTAAAATTTGTAAGAAATACTTCCAAATGGCTCCTAATTTAATGTCAGCAATCTGAGCTGATAAATATTTTTGGAATGTCGAGGTGTTCGTGTATCACTATCGTATGGTCTTATGTTTATATTGTGTTGCGTGGGGCGAAAAAGTACACAGTGTTTATATAGCACAGGATATTATGGTCCACCGTTGTTCTTGCTCCTATATTTTCTAAGGGAAAATAGGTTTTAATTTTAATAAGCCTTTTCTTTTACATTCCCAAGAAGTTTAGTCTTTATTTGGCATATTGTTTCACCATCTTCTCCTACGCATGATTCACAGGCAAGTCTCCGTAGAGGAAGGAGAAGCCAAAGCCCGTGAACTAAATGTCATGTTTATCGAAACAAGTGCAAAAGCTGGATTCAATATCAAGGTAATCCAATATGAAAATGTATCCATACTCGGATACCTCCAGAATGAATCTAATACCAATCGATGCTTCTCATCTGCTGTATACTCGGGAACTTGAAGCAAATACTTATAATTCCTTCATTCTTTGATAAAGATTTAAATTGAACTTTAGAAAGGCCGCTATTTTCTTAGTATCTGCTTATGGTCTTTCTAATGGCCATATTGCCAACCCTATAATTTATGCAGGCTCTATTCCGAAAAATTGCTGCAGCATTGCCCGGAATGGAAACTCTCTCTTCGACAAAGCAAGAAGACATGGTTGATGTCAACCTGAAGTCAACGGGCAGTGGTGCTGCACAATCCCAGCCGCAGTCCGGTGGATGCGCCTGCTAATGAAGCTCGACATGAGGAATCGCTCGCTCTTTCTTGCCTTTTGTTTTCAACACCTCAATCTTCTAGAACTGTGACATTCAGGTACAAGGTGTGGTTATATCTATCAATGCCTGCTTGAGCAATTCGTAAAATGTAATTGGTGGCAAGAGTAGACAGCTGTTATTTTATGGAGTAATTTGATGTATTGGTGGAGTCATTATTTGGGTTTTGGGATTTGGGAGACGTGTAAAAATTAGAAAATTTATCTGTCGGACTCGATTACAGAATTTTGCTTGTCTTGTAAGTTGTAATTCATCTTTAGAAATTCTGCAAATTTCATTTGCTTTTACAATGATTTGTTGAGTTGGTTCATATTATGCTTTTGGTTAACAAATTGGCCTCTTATTTTAGCTTAAGCTTGTGTGGATTTTTAATTGAAATTCGCAGGGCTTTTATGTTTGTCGTAATTTGGTTGATCGTCAATTCATTCAAACTTTTGATATACATAATTGGAATATATTACTTTCTGAGCATATGCAAAATTTATTGTATCAACATTGAAATGTCAACCTTCGTATGCTAAATTGAGGAACATTTGTATAAGAATTATCAATGAATTCGCTAAGATGACCTTCTAACCTTTAATTATAATCGTTCCCACACATACAATTGTATATTAGATCGACGCTTGTTGCAGGATTCCTTCCCTATCACACACAGTAAGAGAGGAAAGTAGTCCAACATTTGAAACTGGGCTTGAAGGGGTGCGCCAGGCCCATGCTATAGTGCAACGCGTGGGCGACGCTCGAAAACCCCAGTAGCAAGCTACTGTGATGGGCCTTCCCCCATAAGAAATTAATTTAATATCATGTGGGCCGATGGCCCACGTATCAGATATTAAACTGATAAGAACAGATACTACACTTGATCTTAGCCAAAAGGCCGAGAAAGGTATGATTTCTACATACATCGAGGGCTTGTTTTATAGTACCATATGGCGCAGTCTGCCAGCACGCTTTCCGATGTGGGACAATATGGCGCAGTCTCGACTCTCTATCAAGGAAACTACGTCGTTTGGTCTCAGTGCAGACCTATATAAAACAGTAATGGTCAAACCTTTTGCTCTCCAGCTCTGAGCCGAAAATGGAGTTCCTGGATGAAGATGCGAAGCCCAGGTTCCTCTTCCACTGTCGCGCCAATCCATCTTCGGCGCCTGAGCTCCATATCGAACCGCAATCCTGCAAGCTCTTCTGCTCAATCACCGTCGTACTATCTTCCATTTTACTCATTCTCTCAATTTTGTTCGTCCAGTTCGAACCATTCAGATCTATTCTTATCTGGATGTCTCTCTCGCTTCTACTCGGCCCATTCGCTCCCATATCCATTACCGGCGGCGACATTCGAGTCGGTCGAGGTCCGATTCTCGAAATTCCAGACGAAGAATCCGAAATGGAGGACGATTCAAAGACGAAACCAGTTCAAAAGCGCTCAAAACCGCGCAGATCCGGGGAAATCGCCGCTGGTGTAATTGAAGTTGTCGAAAAGGCCTCTTCAAAAGTGGAGAACAGGAATGGAGCTCTTGGGAGTAGCAACAACGGTGTCGATTTTGCGATCGAGGAGGCGGAGTGGGACGAAGGGGAATTAAAGGTTTTAAAGAAGCAGTTAGCGAAGCATCCTGTGGGGAAGCCGAGGCGATGGGAGATAATTGCAGAGGCATTTGGCGGGAGGCTTAAAGTGGAGAGTGTGATCAAGATGGCTAAGGAAATGGAAGAGAAGAAATTAGGCGATGAGGATTCGTATGCCCAATTTCTGAAGAAAAGGAAGCCGATGGATAAGAGAATTGAAAACGTGGATGAAGAACGGGCAGGTGGCGTCGTCGACGGTCAGGCCGTCTGTTGGAACTCTAGTGAGGACATTGCGTTGCTCAATGCTTTGAAGGCTTTTCCAAAGGAGGTGCCAATGAGATGGGAGAAGATTGCAGCTGCTCTACCAGGGAAGACGAAGGCAGCTTGTATGAAAAGAGTTGGGGAATTGAAAAGGGATTTTCGAAATTCGAAGGCTGGGAATGACATCTGAAGGAATATTAATGGAGTTATTAGCGATCAACATCTTGAACTGGTGTATCAAAGAGGTAATAGAAAATCTTGAATTAGCTATTGTTCATCTCAGTAGATCTTTTACCCTGTTACACATTCTATTGATCTTATCGATTATCAAAAGAACAAACATTAACTTAGTTCCATGTTCAAATTTGTTGCAACCATAGGTTTTTACAACGATGATTTAGGAATTTTTTTGTGTGGATGTGCTGGTAAAGTATTATTGAAGTTTTGGAGTATAGATTACAAAACTTGAATACTAGTGGTCTTCATGTAGGTTTCGATCTCGGGAGTCAAAAACCTTCATGCTTGAAGGTTTGCAGATCCATTTCTGCCTCTGGCATCGATCAGTTTACAGAATTTGCGTCTCTTTACTCTGTTTCTGAATGAATCGCCAAAGATTGGGCACTACGAACTGTCTTAATGGAGGTTCTTGATCATTTTAAGTTCGTTTGAGCAATTTTCCTCCAAAAATAAACATCCTACAAATTCTTGAACGAAAATGGACTAACCAGTTGCTAGAACATATATAAATCAGTTTAAGTTTTCGGTAGAAGACATCAGGCGCAACGCGACCATTCAAAGCCTTTATCCGCTCGAAACAATTTCAGTTGCAAATTCCTAAACCAATCTATGCGCTTATCGCTGGTGAAATCCTCCGATGGGCCTTCTCTCATGGTTGAAAGGGGAATCGACGCCATGGGAGGCTCAAACTAACTGAAAACATTAAACAGCTATGAAATTATTAAGTTCGACTAGAACTAAATCGAAGGCTCTTAAAATCATGATGAATTCCCATTAGTTCTAATTCGGGCTCGAATCTGTGAAGAATATACAACGGGTACGATGGAATTGGAGAGGAAGACGAAAAGCCTGGGAAATTGAAATGGAATTGTGCTAAATTATTATCCATTAACCTAAAATTAAAACCTAAAAAAAATCTAAATTTTAAAAAATAAGAAAATGGGAAATTAATTGACAACATGCTTCAAACTGGAGAGTTAAATTTGCACTTTTACGAAGAGAAGAAAAAAAAAAAGGGGGAAAAAAAGAGTAGTTTACTGACGTGGAAGGTTATTTTTGTCAAAACAACCAAGATAACCTAACCTACACCTTAAATGGAGGGTATTTTGAGAAAATTAATTTTTGTACCGCTCACGAAGCCAAATTTTCCAAAATAAAAAAAAAAAAAGGAGGCAAAGGAACGAAGCTGGAGAGGGGACTGAGCGAGGCCGCGAAGAACGACGTTTATCGATGTCTTCAACTCCGAAGAGGCGAACGAAATACAAGCATAATCCGAACTCTGATGTCACTTTTAAACGCGATTCTTATGGTTCATCTTCTGCAGTGTTGCTGAATTCTATCAAGGGACCGCCTCGTGATTTCTTTCCCTCGAAGGATGATCTTACTAGGCTAATTACTGTACTTTTCATCGCCGGCTTGGTTTTTGTGAGTTGTAACTTCTTTGTATCTAGACTTGAAACTCGCCGCCCGAGGCCTTTCTGCGACTCCGACGCCGATTCTTTTGATTTGCTTTCTGGTAAGTCGTAGCATTGTTCAATCTTTCCTGTGTTTGGTGTTTAAAAACTCGAAGTTGAGGAATTTGAAAATGAATTTTTTGAATGATGATTTCTAGCGTATGTTTGTTCTTTCTGAAGTAATGATTTGTGTCTTCACAATTTTGGTGCACATTTTAGCTCATTTTTGCACGCTGCATTTAGTTTTTGTTCTTTCGTTTGCCAACAATAAATTCCGGTCACTTGAAATGGTTGTCTTATGCATACTGGCGCCATTAACTGGTACTTTCTGTCATGCTCTCGTGCAAACTTGTGGAACCATAATATCATATCCTCTATCATCGGAAAGCGAACATACTAAAATAAAGTCACCATCTCCACTGATGCGAGAGACAAGATCAGCATTCGACGTAGAGCCCTTTGATAAACCTGATTAAGCCAGTGGTTAGCGATTGCAAAGAGAACGCTCCTTGATTAAGTCAGTAGTTAGTCGTCTGCAGAATGTTTGACTTGAGATCAACTTGTCATCCATTATATTGTTTAGAGTCGATAGATTAAAATTTGTTCTGTTTTATTCTTTGTTCATATTGCATCAACTTTTTTTTCTGTTAAAACTTGCAGGCCTTTTAGCTTTACCCTAACATTTGCTTCTTCTAACTTTCTGTTTATTTTATTTATGACTTCCAAGTTGAACGTAAAGCCAGTATAAGTGATTTCATATGAAGTAATCTGTCGATGGTGATTAGTTTGGTTTTGTCCTGATAGTTCATACTTCTAACCAAAAAATATATATAACTAATTTCAGATGCTTGTGAGCCTTGTCCAAGTCATGGAGAATGCCATGAAGGTACGTTGGAATGCCTTCATGGTTATAGAGAGCATGGAAGGTTATGTATAGAAGATGGAGTAATCAATAAAGCAGTTAAGAAACTTGTATGTGTGATGTTTTTTTCCCTGGTAACTGTAATTTTCTCTCTTCTTTTTCTTATTGGTCATAATTTCACACTTCTTTATCCTATTGTTGCAGTCAGAATGGCTAGAATTTCACCTCTGTGAAGCAAATGCCAAGTTTTTATGCGATGGAATTGGGATAGTTTGGGTTTGTTATCTTGGTGTCCCTATAAAATTTCAGTTTTATATTTATTTCCCTCTTCAATAACACTCTAGCCTTGCTCCTTTTTATTGTGGCGCCTCTATTTTTGTTTCTGTCTTATGTAGTGTTAAGTTTAATGGTTCAAATTTAGCTGCACGTTTAATGTGGAAGGACCTAGTATTTTTGTTGTCAGCACACGGAGTTTTGATTTCAATTCATTATCAGGTTCAAGAGGATGCTATATGGGATGATCTCGATGGTAAAGCGCTGGTGGAAAACGACTCTGACAACACCACTATTATGTATGCAAAGAGTAAGGCATTGGAAACTATTGGTGGGTTATTCCAGGCACGGAAAAATGCTCTTGGGTATGCCATTCAACTTTTTGTATAAAGTCAGAACCTTAGTGGAAACAATGTATCATTTGATTAAAATATGTGCTGATAGAATTTATTTGCATCCTCCTCGTTGTGTAGTATCAAGGAATTGAAATGCCCAGATCACCTAGCTGAAAGTTACAAGCCTTTGACTTGCCGTATTCGTCACTGGGTTTTGCAGCATGCTTTTCTTGTTTTGCCAGTTTCCTTACTGGTATTCTACTCTACAAGGGAGCTTTGAACTGATTAGGTTTTAGTTGCAATATGTTGAAGCTAGTTGATGATATTGAGATGTACAGCTCGTGGGATGCACACGGTTACTATGGAAACTTTGCCGGAGACAATATCTAACTAATAGAGCTGAAGATCTGTACAACCAGGTATAAGCTATGGCTTTTTCAATTATATTTTTCAAGTAGTCATTTTTCTTTGCGCGATTTGCTTCGTTGTTATGTTGGTTCCTATTTGAAGCTAAAATTTTGTCCTCTCAGCATGCGTAGTCTGATTAACATTGTTAATTCACTACATAGATAGCAAATAAAAGATCTTCCAACTGATGAATTTCAGAATATAAAATAATTGTAGCATGCATGCTTATTAATTCTTTTCCATGTGGTGCTTTGCGATTGACCCTCCTGAAACAATTTCAGTTTCTTTCCTCTAGAGTTGAGACTTCGTTGAGATATGAAGTTTTATGCCATTCTCTAGTTTGCAATCATAAGTACAGAATTTTCAAGTTGTCGATCTCCCAAACTAGGATTGTTTTAGAAGTTTATCACATTGAGTATTTGAATTCCCAAACTTTTTTTATATTTATTGACTAAAATTTTTTTATCTTCTACTGTCAAGATAAATTGAAGTGTGACCCACATACAGTTCGTGTCGTAATAAGATAGACCCTTCCCCCAAGACGTTTTGCCAACTCCGGTAGATTTTTTTCACTCTAATGCTAATCTCTTGGTCTTCATTACAGGTTTGCGAAATACTCGAGGAAAATGCTTTGATGTCAACGAGGAACAGTGGACAATGTGAATCATGGGTAGTTGCTTCTAGGTTACGTGACCATCTTCTTTTGCCACGAGAGAGGAAGGATCCTTTATTATGGAGAAAGGTATCACGTCCCTTCTTGACTCTCATTTTTTCTTATTTCATTTAGAATCAATATATCTTACATCTAGGTGAGGGAAGATCAATTTTTCTTTGTTCTTAGGAGCAATCAGGGCGTAAATTATTTCATCATTTTGTTTTTTGTCACATGGCTTTTTAACGTTAACTGAAGTTACAATCCGAGTGGTGGATGTAGTTCTGAATATTTGGCAATAGAGTTTGCTAAAATACTTAGGTCGTTCAAATTCATTGAAATGTACATAGAAAAATGTTTTCTCGATTCATATGCGAGATGGATTTTGATAGATGAATAATTCTTTTTGGATATAGCCATGGCTAAAATTTGGAAACCAATCTGAAATCCTAATTTTTTCCATCAACAAAGATTAAAGAGATCACATAATCTGTTTGTCCTCTCCGCATTCCAATTTATAATCACTTCATTTGATGTTCTTCTTGATGCTTTCCCTTGTTAACTTTTGGCCATACACAAGTTGAATGAATGAGATCGTTCATCTACTTAATGAATAAAGTTTGAGAATTAGTTTAAGTTAAATTACAAGTTTAGTTCTTTTACCTTTCATGTTTATTTGTAATTATCCTACCTGTTTCCTACATTAATGAAATTGTTTGCTTCCTGAAAAAACACTTTCATATTTGTGTTTTGGTCTCAGCTTTTTAAAAAGATATTTGCTAGGTATTGAGTTCAAATTTTATGTATAAAAGGTCTCTGATATATTAAAAAATTAACAAATTATTAGATATAGAATTGAATTTTGTGTCTGACATTAAAATTTTAATTGTATTTAATAAGTTTGTAAATTTTAAAAAATATTAAGGATCTATTAGTCACAAAATTGAAAGTTTAAGGACTTATTGAACACAAATTTGAAAGTTTTGGGATTCATTAATACATTTAAATTTCAAGAATTTGTAAACACAAAATTTAAAATTCAAGAATTTGAAAAAGTTAAAGAACATGTTTGACCCAAACATGAAAGTTGAGGGATTAAATTTATAATTTTACCATTACTTTATTTTATGTAGGTAGAAGAGTTGGTTCAGGAAGATTCACGAATAGATCGGTACCCGAGACTGGTCAAGGGAGATGGAAAAGAAGTATGGGAATGGCAAGGTATAAAAATATTTTTTCTTTTCATTTCTAATTCCTGATATTGAATGAGATAACCTCATCTATAAATAAAATCGTGATGACTGGATAAGGAACTCGTCCATAGACAGAACTCATATATTATGCCAACATGCACCTAACTTTCCTACTTCCTCATTTGGTTGTGGGTTTGAATTCCCAACCTCACATGTGATTTAATATTCTAAAAAGGAAAATACGTATATTACAACACTATAAACATGGTTAATTTTTAAGTTGGGATGATTTGTGCAAAATTCTATTTGGTTGATATTTATGCAGACACATTTAAAGCGTTAATTTTAAATTTGAAAAGTGGAGAGATATAATAGAATATAAGGAACTTTTGGAACGCAGATGAATCGAGGACTTGCATTTAAACCCATCTTTTTAAGTTTAGAAGCACTAAAAGCTTGGGGACTCGAACATGAATTGTTATAAGACAGAGCGAGCAAAACGATTCTTTTGGCGTTGATTGTCATCTCCATTACAAGTAAATTCTGATATCCTTGTTCTTGTTGAACAGTAGAAGGCTCTTTAAGCTCTTCAAAGGCAAAGAGACTGGCTAGCAAATCCAGTGCCAGAATGGCGATGGGAGTAAATTCTGACGTAATATACTCCAAAATGGAGAACGGTGAGTCATATATAAGCTTGATCGAGTTACAGAATCTGGTTTTTTTCTCCATTCTCATGCTATGTCGACTTTCTTCCATTCATTTAGTTTTGAAAAATGACTAAACTAATGTGCAGAGCCGAAGGCAGTAGTTTCGTGACATGGCGCTCGTCCATGAGGATATTGTAGCTTAGCTGGTTAATAGAAAGAATGAAAACAAGAGGTACAAGATTTGAGTGTATAATTATTATGTTTTATTGTTGTGTGAAGTAGTTGTTAAGCTGGTTCTATTGCGACAACTGGGGCCTGTAGGGGTATGAGGTACTGTAATATTATTCCCTTTTACTTCTCTTTCGATAGCACTATCTTGCTTGCCCCTTCCCACCTGGAGAAGCCCATAGTGTCCACTTCAAGATCTGTTATTAAAAACTTCTTTATGGATTAATATTTTTCTTAATTGTTTTCCTAGGAAAGCTCGGGTTTTTTTTTTTTTTTTTCCGTTTATTTCTATGGGTTTATAATTAAGGAATATTCTCTCCATTAATATGAGATTTTTTTAGGAAGTCCAAAGTAAAGTCATGAGAGCTTGTGCTTAAAATGGACAATATTATACCATTGTGGCGTCTAACATTGTATCAGAACCATGCTAGTCGTGTCAATAGATTCTCGAATCTAGCCTCGATTAAGGGAAGGTGTTGGAGGAAAGTGTGAAGCCTTTTCTTGAATTTTTAAATCTATTTTATTTGGTTATTAAATTTTAAATTTGTTTTATTTTATTTTATTTTTTTTACTTAAAAGGTCTATTTTTTAGTCTTAACTTTAAAAAATAATTATTTGTATTTTTATTTTTATTTTAACAAAATAGTGTAATTTTGATTTTGTGTATTCATATGGTAATATGAGTGTGATTTTACACCACATAAAATATACACATATCTTAATAAATCCATGACTTTTTTAGGAGTCAAAATTAACCGACCTAAAAATTTAATTAATTTTAATACATTTTTTTTTTATAATCTATTTATGAGGTTTGATTCTTATATTTAATATTTTAATTCTTATACTAGAAATATATACATATATAATGTCAAAGCGAGTGTGTAAAGTAGATGGCCACAAGTGAGTCATATATATGCTCGGTTTGTTTGGATTAAGTCTCCAAAGTATTTAAAATAACTATTTTTATGTTAAAGGACGATTGTTTTACATAATTTAAATTGCATATAGACTAGTTTATACATCATTGAAACTAATAAATTTGTAGATAGAGGTGAATTAACGCCATTGATATTATTTATTAATATTTATTTCATTTAAATGAAGCTACGTGCCAAATTATACATGATTTCCTTCTTATGTTAAGAAAAGGGAGCTCATAAATAAAATAGAAATCACAATATTTATCTGTAAAACGTACATTTAAAACCAAAGGGAATCATAGAAATGAGATGAATAAAAACATTTGTTAAAAGCCAACCTCTGTCAGCAAACTTTTTTATTCACTCAAGTTCAAGAGTGCACGTACTTTAATCATCACCACATTTTGGAGGGTTGATTGGTTAAGCGAACGACATGTTTCAATATTAACCATCAATATTTTTAAATTTTAAATTGAATTAATACGAATATTATAATACATTTATTGCAAGAATTTTACCGTCGAAAAAAGGTAAGATTATCTCCCGCCGAAATACGGGGAAACCACTGTAGTCTCTTAGGAAAAGAGAAGAGAGTCCCCATGAAAATAATTTACGTCGACGGAGAGTGTTTGTCGACGTTGCTAATTCCTTCATTTTCCTCTGTAAGCTTTCCTCTTCCATTTGACTTTTCTTTGAATTCTTCCAATCTTTGAGCCGAACAGATATTCGACATGTTTCTGGATTGCCATGAATGCATGGTCCGCACTCGTAAGGATCCGTACTCTCTCACACTTCCGGTCTCTTTCGATGTTCTCTCTTTCCGTTTCTTTTTCTGATTTTTATTTTGTATTTATGTAGATGCAGAAGCTACGATTCGGCCAGAGGACGAGGCGAAAGCATGATTGAGGTAATCTCCAAAGCGCCTTCTCTAATGTTTTATCGTTTTCTCCAAAACGTCTCACTCTTGCACATTTGTGAAATTTCGATTTTCTGTTCGTTGTTTGTTGTAAATATGTTGAAATTTCCATTTCAAATGAAGATGATATGAAGATGTATGAGATTTTTAGCAGTGACCTAAGAAACAAGCCGAGCGAGCTATGGTTTGCACTGCCGACGATTTACAAGAATGGAAAGACTTTCCTAAGGGTCTGAGAGTTCTTCTCCTTGATCGGGACGGCCATTCCGCAGCCGAGATAACATCAAAACTTGAGGAAATGGAGTATGTTGGTGAGGAATTTTCGAACTCCCCTTTTTTTTCATTTAAGATGTATTTTTGTTAGAAATCCTCGTTCGTTCTTATAAGGCACTGTTGCTTTGCTATCTTCTTCAATATTAAAATATATTTGTATTCTGTTTATATCTCTTTAATGCTAATTACATGTATTGTGGGTGAGTTGGAGTTACGAACCGATCGAAAATGCACTTATTTTTACTTTCTAGGAAGACTTTAGAGTTTCATGGTTTCTTCCGGAAAATGTGTGTTTCCAAATATTAATTTGTTGAAGATCTGAGTTTTTTCTATTATGATGCCATTTCCACGTCTCTCTGTTCCTTTAAGAAGTTTTCTTTCTAGTTTCTTTTCTATGATATAGAGATTTCACTTCTGTGTTGAGAAGTTTCACTTGGCATATTGCAGTCTGTTACTGTAGTGATGAGAAGGAAACTTTGTCAACAATTTTGAACACATCGGAAAACTTCCATGTTGCAATTCTGGAGGTATGGCTAATCACTTTCAGAAAGGAACTATGCATGTACGCCATAAACCTGACTCCTTAAGTTTGCTTGCTTGATAATATCCAGTTCTCGTGATGATTGGACTAATCAGTAGCGATATAACTTTGTTAAATTCTGCTTCAGTTCTCTGATCACTTTTAAATTGTAGCTCCTCAATGTTCTTATAGTAACATTTATCTTTTTAAATTTTTGGATCCATCTCTGATTCAGATGTGCAAAGGAAATTATGATGAGAGTTTTAAATTGCTTGGAAGTTCCAAGGACTTGCCAATCATAAGTAAGTTAACAACCAAAACTGGTTTCTTCTCAAAAGAAAAAAGACGGTTTTGAATAGCATATTGTTGGATATTTTTGAAAGCTTCCTCCAACAAACTTTACGGTTCGTGACCTGACTCTGAGATTATGTTGTTCTATGGCACAGTGATTTCAGATGTCTATTGCCTAAGTACCATGATGAAGTGCATTGCAGTAAGAACTCCAATCTAATTTCTCTTTAACCGACCTTTTTGGTAATGCTAAAACTGGACTTTTAGTTCCTTTCAAGGGTTCCTTAGGGACCGGTAACCATGTATGTTTTGCAATAACTGGTATTGGTTTCCACTTTTCTTGTTGGTTTGAGATACCGGTCTCTAAACAAAGCTAGTATCTATAGTTTTTATTTTGTTTCCAGCAGAATTTGATGCTCAGATTATAACTATCTATGGATCTAGATTTACAATTTTTGTTTTGCTTGGTGCAGTTGAGTTTTTGCTGAAACCACTCTCTGAGGACAAATTGAGGAATATCTGGCAGCATGTCCTTCACAAGGTATTTTTCAGTTCTGGAAAACTTCGCATCGCTAAGAAAACATCGAATATAAAGACAAAATATTGACCAGCAATGTTTTGAGAAGGCATTTTCCAGTACACCGAAGCCTGAAGTAGACTCCGCAGCATCCTTGATGCAGCTCCAATTAGAGAGTGAAGACAATACTGGAGTTCTGGAAGATACGGAAGTTCTTTCTTGGATTCAAGACGTTGTATGGGAGCAAGAGCAACCAGAAGGAAGTGTTATATATCAACTGAACCAGGGATCATCGTTGCAAGGTTGCTGGGAAAGTGAAAATCAAATGAACCGTCCAATGGAAACAGATTGCAGTGACAAAGATGTGCGGTCTAACTTCGTCGAAACTGCTTCACATGATTTGGTTTGTGAAGACACCCTTCAGGAGGGCCAACCTCGATTATCTGGCGAGGTAATGCTCGAAGGAGACAGGAACTTTGTTGTTGGCTTAAACGCAGAAAGCGACCTTTATCTTCCCTTGCAGAATAAATCTGGCGTCAAAAGTGGTCCTTCAGCCGCTGAGCACTCAATCCAAGGATCTGATGTAAACCCTTCAGCTAGTTCCAAAGCGAGGAAAACAAAGGTAATTTGATTATCTTATACAAAAACGAAAACTTTTGAGAAGTGCCTTGTATCTGTATTTCTCTAAGGTCATATATCTAGATTATAAAACTCGTTCAAATCTTGGAACGTTATCATGTCTATAAATATATGTTTTCAAATGCGACTTCTATTGTCCATTAGGTGGACTGGAGCCCAGAGCTACATAGAAAGTTTATTCGGGCAGTCGAACAGTTAGGCATAGATCGTGCAATTCCTTCCAAAATACTTGAGCTGATGAAAGTTGAAGGTTTGACAAGGCACAACGTTGCAAGTCATCTCCAGGTTTGCCACCTAGGCTTTTTGTTCCCTTAGATATTAAACTTGTTTCATGCACTTGTTCATATATCCTACAAACTCATGTATCTATAAGTACATTAAACAAGTTTAATGTCTAACATGTTCTTCTAATGCTCTTTATGTCGTTTACGCAGAAGTACAGGATGCAAAGGAAACATGTGATGCAGAGAGAAGAAAATCTAACAAGATATTCAATGCAAACCAATCACTCCCCACCAATCATGGCTTACCCTTCTTATCCTTACTGTGGAATATCCATGTCTACCGTCTATCGAACATGGACGCAGACCAATGGCCATCCAGCTAATGTCAACATGCGGGGTCCGCCTGATTATCGCCATTGGCCGCAACCAGGAACTCAGCCATGGAACTCTTATGCTGGGGTAACGTTTTCCATTCTTAGATTTCAGTGAAATGGCGAGATTCCATCCACAACCATCCAAATTAAAAACCTTGTACGTCACTGCATTAGAAAAATAGTAACATGTTTCTTTGAAAAATTCATTGTTCACGATACGCGTTAGGTACAAAGAAACAAGAAACAGAGTGATTTTTTCGAAAATTCTACTTTTCTTGATTCTCAAAACTCATGTAATTTTTTTTTTTTAAAAAAAAAAAACCAAAATCTTGATGTCACTAACTTGTTGAAGCTACTGGTCCTTGAGAACAAACAAAATGGTAAAATAATTAAAAATTTTGAAAAATGTCGTTTGTGATAATAGTTGTTCAAACTGATTTGTTTCAGATGCAAGCTGATGCATGGGGTTGCCCTGTGATGCTGCCTTCTCGTGCTCCATATTTTTCATATCCTCAGGTGAAAGTGTATTTTTATTTATTTTTTGCAAGAGTTAAACTGAAATTAACCTTTTTATTTGGTAATTATGGCTGTGTTATTTATTTATTTATTATTATTATTATTTTTTTTTTTTGCCATATTGCAGCAAATTTCAGCATCACACAACGTTTATACAGCAAATAAGGGCTATGGCACGCCTCAAATTTCATTTGATCTTCAACCAGTAAATAAAAAGGCTTCAAAACTTTATTTTAGCATTTGCAAATAATAATAATAATAATAATAATAATTAATTATAGTTTTTTTCCTTTTTGTAGAATGAGGAGTTGATTGACGAGATTGTAAATGAGGCAAAGAGGAAACCATGGTCACCTCTTCCATTGGGGCTTAAACCTCCTTCTGCAGAGATTCTTGTGGAAGAGCTTCCAAAGCAAGGAATCTCCACTCTTACTCCCCAAATCAACGCCTTCAATCCTCCCTGATCCCACTCTCTCCACCTTCTTACTATAAATATGTTTGGGTTAAATTATAAAATAAATTTATGTACTTTCGATTTTTTATTTGAGGTATCATTCAAATTTTTTATTTTTTATTTTTTAAAAAATGAATCTATCCAAACTTTTTAAACGACTCATTGAAAAATCTACAAAGAGCAAACATGTGACAAAAAAGTTGAGTTTGGTGCGTTGAAAAGCTTGTGTGTTTTTTGTATTAGACTAGTTTTGACGAGTAAGGTGAAGTGATTTGTCACCCAGCGCTGTTGGCAAAGATATGGTTACCTGCCTGTGATCTTTTCTTGGCCCCATTTCCTCCCTTGTGGCCGGCTACTTTACCAAGTCGCCACGATGGACCAATAAAATCAAGCCTTCATGTACCCTAGTATCATATTCCAATTATTGTTCATAACATCATAATATGCTAGATTTGAATGGAAAATATTTTGCATGCCCAGCTAGTTAGTTACTCCACCATTCAGAGTATTAGGATCTGAAGTAATGTAGTAGTTGATATTATTCGCTTTACAAAGAGTGTTTTATTTCTCTTTTTAACCGACGTGAGATTTCATAATTTGTCTCCTTAGGTACTTAACTTCTCGTTGGCACGCTACTTGGTGTTTGACTTTTATACCATTTGTAACAGTCAAAACTTATTACTAGCATATATTATCCGTTTTGACCTGCTACGTGTCGTTGTCAGCCTTACGATTTTAAAAACCTGTCTACTAGAGAAAATTTTTCATATCCTTATACGAAATACTTTGTTCCCCTCTCTAACCGAAGTGAGATTTCTCAAGTAATTTTATTAATAACACTTTTACTGATACATATGAATTCGTGTTAAATGTACAACTTTTTTTATTTTATGCTTATCATGTCAACTATTAAACATTGGCTATAACATAACTCCATTTTAATCACTAACATTTTAAATTTTCAATCGAATCGATACGTACTATATTTAACTTTTTTTTGCTCTCAAATCATATAATATAAGTATGTCATTTCATTTCAAATCATTTTTCTAATTCATATTGAAATTTGAATCACACGATTAAATATCAGATAAAGTTTTCAACATAATCACGGTGGACACTCGTTATTCTCACAATTATTTATTTATTTAATATTTTTATTTTATAATTGCTTGAATAGAACATTTAATAGTAATGACCCTAATTAATGTTTTTTCTTTTTTCTTTTTTATCATAGAGCTTTAAAAAATTCCACACGGTGCCACATGGACAGATATTTCCCATTTTGTTCACCTGAAGGCCAACGTCAACCACCCTCCTCTTTCTAATAGCATAATTTTGAAGTAAAATTGAAGATTTCGTGAGTTTTTAATGTAAATAATAACTATATTAAAGTTTTTTATATTTCGAAATTTTATAGTGATAAAAAATAAAAAAACGAGTAAAAGAATAGTAAGTAAATCAACTCGAACTTATCTCAAGGGTTAAAACATTGGCATTTGGCATTAGTAATATTAAATTTTTATTGGACGTTAAAATAAAAAATATATTTAAAAAAATAAATATGATAATTAAAAGTTTAGATATTAAAGTAGGTTGTTTAAAATATTGAGAACCACAAGAGAAGAATCCGTGGGCTGGCAAACCATGGACGTAAAAGGAGAATTGAAAAAACAACACAGTGTTGGTTGCATCCACAATGCTATGGTTTTGACATAACATCCTAATGACTCCAAAACCCCTAAACAAAACATTACACCAAAACACTAAAGTTCATAAATTCTATGCCCTCCTTCCCCTTTACTTGGAAACAAATCTGTCTTTTTCCGCAATCTTGCTTTGATTTTTTTAATCTTCTTTCATACCAATTTAATGTTCTGATTTGATGTTTAGATTCCTTTACCTCCGATTACACCAATTTATTATAAATGGTATCAAACTTAGATATCGAGCGCGATGTACCAGTGAGTATGCTAGACTCTCGAAGAGTATGAATTGTGAGATCCCACATCGGTTAGAGACAAAAACGAAACATTCTTATATGGGTGGAAATCTCTTCTTAAGAAACACGTTTTAAAACCGTGAGGTTGACGACGCATAGAATATCTAAATGTAGTAACTAAGAACTATCATACTTACGCTTTTAATTTCATCCAAATTTGCAGCAAATTTATTTTTCTTATTAAAATTTATTGTCACGTGGACTTAATAAATTTCTAAAGTATATATGTTAAAAATCACAATTCTTCACAATGGTATGTTATTGTCCACCTTGAACATAATCTCTCATGGATTTGCTTTGGGTTTTTCGAGAAAGGCCTCATACCAACGTAAAGAAATAATAATAATAAAAAAATTAAATTAAAAAAAAAATTAGAATGTTAAAAAATATATGTTAGAATGAAAGTCCGTCTATAATTTATGGAATAGTCATGAGTTTAATAAAATAATACTATCTCCATTTGTTTAAAGCCTTTTGAGAAGCCTAAAGTAAAATTATGATAGTTTATGTTCAAAATGGACAATATCATACCATTGTGAGAATCGTGTTGCTTAACATATATTCTAACAAAATATTTGTGTCAAATTATATATATATATATATATATATATATTTCTCAAATTTAAATATAACCAAACCACGACATTAGCTAACAAACTCCGCATACATCAAAGTTAGGTGATAAAATTTGTAATATATATATATATAATTATTAAATTGTTTAATATTACTCGATAATATAAATAAATTCAAACTAGTAGCCAATTATTTTCTGATATTTAGTTGGTAAGTTTCAACGTGCCCATCTTATTTGAAGGTGTGGTTAAAGTAGATAAGGATTAAATTAGTGTGGTCTCGCAATTTCCTCTCTTACTTTTTTTGTAAATATATATATATATATATATATATATATATATATGTTTTTTAAGATCGAATTTTTAATTTTTTAATTTTTTTTAAATCCTTAAATTTAATTGTTATAACAAGATAGTTTTATTCAACCAATCACTTTAAATGGCTCATAATTAATTTAATTTACATATTTAACAACAAAGTCCTACTCGTATTGTAACGTCCAAGATCTACTGTTAGCACATATTGTCCTCTTTGAGTTTTATTTTTTGGGTTCCCCTCAAAGGTTTAAAATTCGCTAGCACTCGTTCGTGATGTCTCACATTGGTTGAGAAGAGAATCGAACATGTTTATAAGAGTGTGAAAACTTTCACCTAGCAGATAGAGTTTTAAAATGTTAAGATAAGCTTAAAAGAAAAAGTCAAACTAAGAAAATAGGATGGGACATTACAGGTATGTATTATTTGTATAATTAAACAGGAGGTAATTTAAAAAATTCATAATTTTATTAGAAACTGATTTTCTTTAATACAAAGACTTGGTAAATAATTTTAATAGTTTAGTGATAAAAGTTTTAAATTTAGGAATAAATAAATGAAATGGATTTTTTTTAAGAAAACATTACACGTGTATATATATCTACAAAAAAACTGGTAAATGTGAAGCATACTTTTTTAGAAAAGAGGAAAGAGTCCCTATAAATGTATGATGGTTGAGCGGGAAAAAAAATTACAACCACGTAGAATGTTTGTTGACGCTGCTAATTCCTGCCTTTTCCACTGTAAGTGTTCGTCTTCCATTTCACTTCTCTTTGAATTCTTCCTATCTTTGAACTGAACGAATATTCGACAGTTTTCTTGATTGCCATCTATGCTGAGGTGCGGACCGCAATCGTAAGGATCCGTACTCTCTCACACCTCCATTGTCTTTCTATGTTATCTCTCTCTATTTCTTTATTTATTTTTGCAGAATGTACGAAACTACGAATCGACCAGAGGAAGAGGTGAAAGCATGACTGAGGTAATCTCCAAAGCGCCTTCTCTAACTATTCTGTTAGCTTTTCGAATCGTCAATGATCGAGCGTTCGGTTGTTGGAAAGTGTTGCTTTCTTGTGATTGCGATTAGTTTGATTTTGAATGTTTTCGTTATGATTCTTGAATCGCTCTTCGTCTTGCTTTCTGGTTTTGTTATTTTCTCTGCGTTCCGATTGGGAAAATAACTGTCTGAGGAGTTAGTCTTCTTCGAAATAGCTATCTAATTGATTGATCGGAGTTCAGGAAGTTAATGATTACTGTATGTGCCATTTTATGCAAATGCATTAACGTTTTCATGAATAATCTCTTGAGTTCACGTATTAAATTTTCTGCCAGACGTCTGTTCGCATTTGTTTTACTATTTCCTCGAGCGTCTCGCTCTTGCACATTTGTGAAATTTCGATTTTCTGTTCGTTGTTTGTTTTAAATATGTTGAATTTTCTATTTCAAATGAAGATGATTTGAAGATGTATGAGTTTTTTAGCAGTGATCTAAGAATATGCCAAGCGAGCTATGGTTTGCACTGCCGACGATTTACAAGAATGGAAAGACTTTCCTAAGGGTCTGAGGGTTCTTCTCCTTGATCGGGACAGCCGCTCCGCTACCGAGATAAGAGCAAAACTTGAGGAAATGGAGCATGTTGGTGAGACATTTCGCACTCCCCATTTTTTTTCTGTTCAAGATGTTTTTCTGTTAAAGATCCTCTTTCACTTAAGGCACTCTTAAACTAGGCTTACTTTGGCCAAGGCCAAAATAAAACTTCCTACCAAAATAGAAAATTAATGAAAGTTCACTTACCAAAACTATGTTTAAACTTTTTCTTTTAAAAAGATATGTAACAATAATCAGATATATTGTGGGTGAGTTGCAGTTATGAACGGATAGAAAATGCACTCCTACTTTGTACGACGACTTTAGAGTTTCATTATTTCTTCCACAAAATGTGTGTTTCCAAATATTAATTTGTTGAAGATCTGACTTCTCTCTATTATGATGCCATTTCCACGTTCTCTCTATTCCTTTAAGAAGTTTTCTTTCTAGTTTCTTTTCTATTATATAAAGATTTCACTTCTGTGTTAAGAAGTTTCACTTCGCATATTGCAGTCTATTACTGTAATGATGAGAAGGAAGCTTTGTCAGCGATTATGAACACACCGGAAAACTTCCATATTGCAATTCTGGAGGTATGGCTAGTCACTTCCATAATGGAATTATGCATGTAGGCCGTAAGCTGACTCCTTAAGTTCGCTTGCTTGATAATATCCAGTTCTCGTGAGGATTGGACCATTTTCAGCAGTAATTTAACTGTTATTGTTTATTTCCTTCAACTAACTTCGTTAAATTCTTTTTCATTTCTCTCATCATTTTCAAATTTTAGTTCCTTATTGTTCTTGTAGTAACATTTAAATTCTTGGTTCCTTCTCTGATTCAGATGTGCGAAGGAAATTATGATGAGAGTTTTAAATTGCTTGGAAGTTCCAAGGACTTGCCAATCATAAGTAAGTTAACAACCAAAACTGGTTTCTTCTCAAAGGAAAAAAGACGGTTTTGAATAGCGAACTGTGGGAAGTTTTTGAAAGCTTCCTCCAACAAACTTTACGGTTCGTGACCTGACTCTGAGATTATGTTGTTCTATGGCACAGTGACTTCAGATGTTTATTGCCTAAGTACCATGATGAAGTGCATTGCAGTAAGAACTCCAATCTAGTTTCTCTTTAACCGGTCTTTTTGGTAATTCTAAAACTAGATTTTAATTCCTTTCAAGGGTTCCTTAGGGACCGGAAACCATGTATGTTTTGCAATAACTGGTTCTGGTATCTACTTCTTTTGTTGGTCTGAGAAACCAGTTTCTAAACAAAGCTAGTATCTATAATTTTTATTTGGTTTACAGCAGAAATTGAGGCTCAGATTATAACTATGGTTTTGCATTATTGTCTATGGATCAAGATTTACAATTTTCGTTTAGCTTGGTGCAGTTGAGTTCTTGCTGAAACCACTCTCTGAGGACAAACTGAGGAATATCTGGCAGCATGTTCTTCACAAGGTATTTTCAATTCTGGCAAAATTTGTATTGCTAAAGAACATCGAATATAAAGACAAAATATTGACCAGCAATGTTTTGAGAAGGCATTTTCCAGTACACCGAAGCCTGAAGTAGACTCCGCAGCATCCTTGATGCAGCTCCAATTAGAGAGTGAAGACAATACTGGAGTTCTGGAAGATACGGAAGTTCTTTCTTGGATTCAAGACGTTGTATGGGAGCAAGAGCAACCAGAAGGAAGTGTTATATATCAACTGAACCAGGGATCATCGTTGCAAGGTTGCTGGGAAAGTGAAAATCAAATGAACCGTCCAATGGAAACAGATTGCAGTGACAAAGATGTGCGGTCTAACTTCGTCGAAACTGCTTCACATGATTTGGTTTGTGAAGACACCCTTCAGGAGGGCCAACCTCGATTATCTGGCGAGGTAATGCTCGAAGGAGACAGGAACTTTGTTGTTGGCTTAAACGCAGAAAGCGACCTTTATCTTCCCTTGCAGAATAAATCTGGCGTCAAAAGTGGTCCTTCAGCCGCTGAGCACTCAATCCAAGGATCTGATGTAAACCCTTCAGCTAGTTCCAAAGCGAGGAAAACAAAGGTAATTTGATTATCTTATACAAAAACGAAAACTTTTGAGAAGTGCCTTGTATCTGTATTTCTCTAAGGTCATATATCTAGATTATAAAACTCGTTCAAATCTTGGAACGTTATCATGTCTATAAATATATGTTTTCAAATGCGACTTCTATTGTCCATTAGGTGGACTGGAGCCCAGAGCTACATAGAAAGTTTATTCGGGCAGTCGAACAGTTAGGCATAGATCGTGCAATTCCTTCCAAAATACTTGAGCTGATGAAAGTTGAAGGTTTGACAAGGCACAACGTTGCAAGTCATCTCCAGGTTTGCCACCTAGGCTTTTTGTTCCCTTAGATATTAAACTTGTTTCATGCACTTGTTCATATATCCTACAAACTCATGTATCTATAAGTACATTAAACAAGTTTAATGTCTAACATGTTCTTCTAATGCTCTTTATGTCGTTTACGCAGAAGTACAGGATGCAAAGGAAACATGTGATGCAGAGAGAAGAAAATCTAACAAGATATTCAATGCAAACCAATCACTCCCCACCAATCATGGCTTACCCTTCTTATCCTTACTGTGGAATATCCATGTCTACCGTCTATCGAACATGGACGCAGACCAATGGCCATCCAGCTAATGTCAACATGCGGGGTCCGCCTGATTATCGCCATTGGCCGCAACCAGGAACTCAGCCATGGAACTCTTATGCTGGGGTAACGTTTTCCATTCTTAGATTTCAGTGAAATGGCGAGATTCCATCCACAACCATCCAAATTAAAAACCTTGTACGTCACTGCATTAGAAAAATAGTAACATGTTTCTTTGAAAAATTCATTGTTCACGATACGCGTTAGGTACAAAGAAACAAGAAACAGAGTGATTTTTTCGAAAATTCTACTTTTCTTGATTCTCAAAACTCATGTAATTTTTTTTTTTTAAAAAAAAAAAACCAAAATCTTGATGTCACTAACTTGTTGAAGCTACTGGTCCTTGAGAACAAACAAAATGGTAAAATAATTAAAAATTTTGAAAAATGTCGTTTGTGATAATAGTTGTTCAAACTGATTTGTTTCAGATGCAAGCTGATGCATGGGGTTGCCCTGTGATGCTGCCTTCTCGTGCTCCATATTTTTCATATCCTCAGGTGAAAGTGTATTTTTATTTATTTTTTGCAAGAGTTAAACTGAAATTAACCTTTTTATTTGGTAATTATGGCTGTGTTATTTATTTATTTATTATTATTATTTTTTTTTTTTTTTGCCATATTGCAGCAAATTTCAGCATCACACAACGTTTATACAGCAAATAAGGGCTATGGCACGCCTCAAATTTCATTTGATCTTCAACCAGTAAATAAAAAGGCTTCAAAACTTTATTTTAGCATTTGCAAATAATAATAATAATAATAATAATAATTAATTATAGTTTTTTTCCTTTTTGTAGAATGAGGAGTTGATTGACGAGATTGTAAATGAGGCAAAGAGGAAACCATGGTCACCTCTTCCATTGGGGCTTAAACCTCCTTCTGCAGAGATTCTTGTGGAAGAGCTTCCAAAGCAAGGAATCTCCACTCTTACTCCCCAAATCAACGCCTTCAATCCTCCCTGATCCCACTCTCTCCACCTTCTTACTATAAATATGTTTGGGTTAAATTATAAAATAAATTTATGTACTTTCGATTTTTTATTTGAGGTATCATTCAAATTTTTTATTTTTTATTTTTTAAAAAATGAATCTATCCAAACTTTTTAAACGACTCATTGAAAAATCTACAAAGAGCAAACATGTGACAAAAAAGTTGAGTTTGGTGCGTTGAAAAGCTTGTGTGTTTTTTGTATTAGACTAGTTTTGACGAGTAAGGTGAAGTGATTTGTCACCCAGCGCTGTTGGCAAAGATATGGTTACCTGCCTGTGATCTTTTCTTGGCCCCATTTCCTCCCTTGTGGCCGGCTACTTTACCAAGTCGCCACGATGGACCAATAAAATCAAGCCTTCATGTACCCTAGTATCATATTCCAATTATTGTTCATAACATCATAATATGCTAGATTTGAATGGAAAATATTTTGCATGCCCAGCTAGTTAGTTACTCCACCATTCAGAGTATTAGGATCTGAAGTAATGTAGTAGTTGATATTATTCGCTTTACAAAGAGTGTTTTATTTCTCTTTTTAACCGACGTGAGATTTCATAATTTGTCTCCTTAGGTACTTAACTTCTCGTTGGCACGCTACTTGGTGTTTGACTTTTATACCATTTGTAACAGTCAAAACTTATTACTAGCATATATTATCCGTTTTGACCTGCTACGTGTCGTTGTCAGCCTTACGATTTTAAAAACCTGTCTACTAGAGAAAATTTTTCATATCCTTATACGAAATACTTTGTTCCCCTCTCTAACCGAAGTGAGATTTCTCAAGTAATTTTATTAATAACACTTTTACTGATACATATGAATTCGTGTTAAATGTACAACTTTTTTTATTTTATGCTTATCATGTCAACTATTAAACATTGGCTATAACATAACTCCATTTTAATCACTAACATTTTAAATTTTCAATCGAATCGATACGTACTATATTTAACTTTTTTTTGCTCTCAAATCATATAATATAAGTATGTCATTTCATTTCAAATCATTTTTCTAATTCATATTGAAATTTGAATCACACGATTAAATATCAGATAAAGTTTTCAACATAATCACAGTGGACACTCGTTATTCTCACAATTATTTATTTATTTAATATTTTTATTTTATAATTGCTTGAATAGAACATTTAATAGTAATGACCCTAATTAATGTTTTTTCTTTTTTCTTTTTTATCATAGAGCTTTAAAAAATTCCACACGGTGCCACATGGACAGATATTTCCCATTTTGTTCACCTGAAGGCCAACGTCAACCACCCTCCTCTTTCTAATAGCATAATTTTGAAGTAAAATTGAAGATTTCGTGAGTTTTTAATGTAAATAATAACTATATTAAAGTTTTTTATATTTCGAAATTTTATAGTGATAAAAAATAAAAAAACGAGTAAAAGAATAGTAAGTAAATCAACTCGAACTTATCTCAAGGGTTAAAACATTGGCATTTGGCATTAGTAATATTAAATTTTTATTGGACGTTAAAATAAAAAATATATTTAAAAAAATAAATATGATAATTAAAAGTTTAGATATTAAAGTAGGTTGTTTAAAATATTGAGAACCACAAGAGAAGAATCCGTGGGCTGGCAAACCATGGACGTAAAAGGAGAATTGAAAAAACAACACAGTGTTGGTTGCATCCACAATGCTATGGTTTTGACATAACATCCTAATGACTCCAAAACCCCTAAACAAAACATTACACCAAAACACTAAAGTTCATAAATTCTATGCCCTCCTTCCCCTTTACTTGGAAACAAATCTGTCTTTTTCCGCAATCTTGCTTTGATTTTTTTAATCTTCTTTCANGTTTACGCAGAAGTACAGGATGCAAAGGAAACATGTGATGCAGAGAGAAGAAAATCTAACAAGATATTCAATGCAAACCAATCACTCCCCACCAATCATGGCTTACCCTTCTTATCCTTACTGTGGAATATCCATGTCTACCGTCTATCGAACATGGACGCAGACCAATGGCCATCCAGCTAATGTCAACATGCGGGGTCCGCCTGATTATCGCCATTGGCCGCAACCAGGAACTCAGCCATGGAACTCTTATGCTGGGGTAACGTTTTCCATTCTTAGATTTCAGTGAAATGGCGAGATTCCATCCACAACCATCCAAATTAAAAACCTTGTACGTCACTGCATTAGAAAAATAGTAACATGTTTCTTTGAAAAATTCATTGTTCACGATACGCGTTAGGTACAAAGAAACAAGAAACAGAGTGATTTTTTCGAAAATTCTACTTTTCTTGATTCTCAAAACTCATGTAATTTTTTTTTTTTAAAAAAAAAAAACCAAAATCTTGATGTCACTAACTTGTTGAAGCTACTGGTCCTTGAGAACAAACAAAATGGTAAAATAATTAAAAATTTTGAAAAATGTCGTTTGTGATAATAGTTGTTCAAACTGATTTGTTTCAGATGCAAGCTGATGCATGGGGTTGCCCTGTGATGCTGCCTTCTCGTGCTCCATATTTTTCATATCCTCAGGTGAAAGTGTATTTTTATTTATTTTTTGCAAGAGTTAAACTGAAATTAACCTTTTTATTTGGTAATTATGGCTGTGTTATTTATTTATTTATTATTATTATTATTTTTTTTTTTTGCCATATTGCAGCAAATTTCAGCATCACACAACGTTTATACAGCAAATAAGGGCTATGGCACGCCTCAAATTTCATTTGATCTTCAACCAGTAAATAAAAAGGCTTCAAAACTTTATTTTAGCATTTGCAAATAATAATAATAATAATAATAATAATTAATTATAGTTTTTTTCCTTTTTGTAGAATGAGGAGTTGATTGACGAGATTGTAAATGAGGCAAAGAGGAAACCATGGTCACCTCTTCCATTGGGGCTTAAACCTCCTTCTGCAGAGATTCTTGTGGAAGAGCTTCCAAAGCAAGGAATCTCCACTCTTACTCCCCAAATCAACGCCTTCAATCCTCCCTGATCCCACTCTCTCCACCTTCTTACTATAAATATGTTTGGGTTAAATTATAAAATAAATTTATGTACTTTCGATTTTTTATTTGAGGTATCATTCAAATTTTTTATTTTTTATTTTTTAAAAAATGAATCTATCCAAACTTTTTAAACGACTCATTGAAAAATCTACAAAGAGCAAACATGTGACAAAAAAGTTGAGTTTGGTGCGTTGAAAAGCTTGTGTGTTTTTTGTATTAGACTAGTTTTGACGAGTAAGGTGAAGTGATTTGTCACCCAGCGCTGTTGGCAAAGATATGGTTACCTGCCTGTGATCTTTTCTTGGCCCCATTTCCTCCCTTGTGGCCGGCTACTTTACCAAGTCGCCACGATGGACCAATAAAATCAAGCCTTCATGTACCCTAGTATCATATTCCAATTATTGTTCATAACATCATAATATGCTAGATTTGAATGGAAAATATTTTGCATGCCCAGCTAGTTAGTTACTCCACCATTCAGAGTATTAGGATCTGAAGTAATGTAGTAGTTGATATTATTCGCTTTACAAAGAGTGTTTTATTTCTCTTTTTAACCGACGTGAGATTTCATAATTTGTCTCCTTAGGTACTTAACTTCTCGTTGGCACGCTACTTGGTGTTTGACTTTTATACCATTTGTAACAGTCAAAACTTATTACTAGCATATATTATCCGTTTTGACCTGCTACGTGTCGTTGTCAGCCTTACGATTTTAAAAACCTGTCTACTAGAGAAAATTTTTCATATCCTTATACGAAATACTTTGTTCCCCTCTCTAACCGAAGTGAGATTTCTCAAGTAATTTTATTAATAACACTTTTACTGATACATATGAATTCGTGTTAAATGTACAACTTTTTTTATTTTATGCTTATCATGTCAACTATTAAACATTGGCTATAACATAACTCCATTTTAATCACTAACATTTTAAATTTTCAATCGAATCGATACGTACTATATTTAACTTTTTTTTGCTCTCAAATCATATAATATAAGTATGTCATTTCATTTCAAATCATTTTTCTAATTCATATTGAAATTTGAATCACACGATTAAATATCAGATAAAGTTTTCAACATAATCACGGTGGACACTCGTTATTCTCACAATTATTTATTTATTTAATATTTTTATTTTATAATTGCTTGAATAGAACATTTAATAGTAATGACCCTAATTAATGTTTTTTCTTTTTTCTTTTTTATCATAGAGCTTTAAAAAATTCCACACGGTGCCACATGGACAGATATTTCCCATTTTGTTCACCTGAAGGCCAACGTCAACCACCCTCCTCTTTCTAATAGCATAATTTTGAAGTAAAATTGAAGATTTCGTGAGTTTTTAATGTAAATAATAACTATATTAAAGTTTTTTATATTTCGAAATTTTATAGTGATAAAAAATAAAAAAACGAGTAAAAGAATAGTAAGTAAATCAACTCGAACTTATCTCAATGGTTAAAACATTGGCATTTGGCATTAGTAATATTAAATTTTTATTGGACGTTAAAATAAAAAATATATTTAAAAAAATAAATATGATAATTAAAAGTTTAGATATTAAAGTAGGTTGTTTAAAATATTGAGAACCACAAGAGAAGAATCCGTGGGCTGGCAAACCATGGACGTAAAAGGAGAATTGAAAAAACAACACAGTGTTGGTTGCATCCACAATGCTATGGTTTTGACATAACATCCTAATGACTCCAAAACCCCTAAACAAAACATTACACCAAAACACTAAAGTTCATAAATTCTATGCCCTCCTTCCCCTTTACTTGGAAACAAATCTGTCTTTTTCCGCAATCTTGCTTTGATTTTTTTAATCTTCTTTCAGATCAATTTAATGTTCTGATTTGATGTTTAGATTCCTTTACCTCCGATTACACCAATTTATTATAAATGGTATCAAACTTAGATATCGAGCGCGATGTACCAGTGAGTATGCTAGACTCCCGAAGAGTATGAATTGTGAGATCCCACATCGGTTAGAGACAAAAACGAAACATTCTTATATGGGTGGAAATCTCTTCTTAAGAAACACGTTTTAAAACCGTGAGGTTGACGACGCATAGAATATCTAAATGTAGTAACTAAGAACTATCATACTTACGCTTTTAATTTCATCCAAATTTGCAGCAAATTTATTTTTCTTATTAAATTTCTAGAGTATATATGTTAAAAAATCACAATTCTCCACTATAGTATGTTATTGTCCACCTTGAACCTAATCTCTCATGAATTTGCTTTGGGCTTTTCGAGAAAGGCCTCATTACCAACGTAAAGAAATAATAATAATAATAAAATTAAATTAAAAAAAAAATTAGAATGTTAAAAAATATATGTTAGAATGAAAGTCCGTCTATAATTTAGGGAATAGTCATGAGTTTAATAAAATAATACTATCTCTATTCGTTTAAAGCCTTTTGAGAAGTCCAAAGTAAAATTATGAGAGTTTATGTTCAAAATGGACAATATCATACCATTGTGGAGAATCGTGTCAAATTATATATATATATATATATATTTCTCAAATTTTAATATAACTAAACCACGACATTAGCTAACAAACTCCGCATACATCAAAGTTACGTGATAAAATTTGTAATATATATATATAATTATTAAATTGTTTAATATTACTCGATAATATAAATAAATTCAAACTAGTAGCCAATTATTTTCTGATATTTAGTTGGTAAGTTTCAACGTGCCCATCTTATTTGAAGGTGTGGTTAAAGTAGATAAGGATTAAATTAGTGTGGTCTCGCAATTTCCTCTCTTACTTTTTTGTAAATATATATATATATATATATATATATATATATATGTTTTTTAAGATCGAATTTTTAATTTTTTAATTTTTTTTAAATCTTTAAATTTAATTGTTATAACAAGATAGTTTTATTCAACCAATCACTTTAAATGGCTCATAATTAATTTAATTTACATATTTAACAACAAAGTCCTACTCGTATTGTAACGTCCAAGATCTACTGTTAGCACATATTGTCCTCTTTGAGTTTTATTTTTTGGGTTCCCCTCAAAGGTTTAAAATTCGCTAGCACTCGTTCGTGATGTCTCACATTGGTTGAGAAGAGAATCGAACATGTTTATAAGAGTGTGAAAACTTTCACCTAGCAGATAGAGTTTTAAAATGTTAAGATAAGCTTAAAAGAAAAAGTCAAACTAAGAAAATAGGATGGGACATTACAGGTATGTATTATTTGTATAATTAAACAGGAGGTAATTTAAAAAATTCATAATTTTATTAGAAACTGATTTTCTTTAATACAAAGACTTGGTAAATAATTTTAATAGTTTAGTGATAAAAGTTTTAAATTTAGGAATAAATAAATGAAATGGATTTTTTTTAAGAAAACATTACACGTGTATATATATCTACAAAAAAAACTGGTAAATGTGAAGCATACTTTTTTAGAAAAGAGGAAAGAGTCCCTATAAATGTATGATGGTTGAGCGGGAAAAAAAATTACAACCACGTAGAAAGTTTGTTGACGCTGCTAATTCCTGCCTTTTCCACTGTAAGTGTTCGTCTTCCATTTCACTTCTCTTTGAATTCTTCCTATCTTTGAACTGAACGAATATTCGACAGTTTTCTTGATTGCCATCTATGCTGAGGTGCGGACCGCAATCGTAAGGATCCGTACTCTCTCACACCTCCATTGTCTTTCTATGTTATCTCTCTCTATTTCTTTATTTATTTTTGCAGAATGTACGAAACTACGAATCGACCAGAGGAAGAGGTGAAAGCATGACTGAGGTAATCTCCAAAGCGCCTTCTCTAACTATTCTGTTAGCTTTTCGAATCGTCAATGATCGAGCGTTCGGTTGTTGGAAAGTGTTGCTTTCTTGTGATTGCGATTAGTTTGATTTTGAATGTTTTCGTTATGATTCTTGAATCGCTCTTCGTCTTGCTTTCTGGTTTTGTTATTTTCTCTGCGTTCCGATTGGGAAAATAACTGTCTGAGGAGTTAGTCTTCTTCGAAATAGCTATCTAATTGATTGATCGGAGTTCAGGAAGTTAATGATTACTGTATGTGCCATTTTATGCAAATGCATTAACGTTTTCATGAATAATCTCTTGAGTTCACGTATTAAATTTTCTGCCAGACGTCTGTTCGCATTTGTTTTACTATTTCCTCGAGCGTCTCGCTCTTGCACATTTGTGAAATTTCGATTTTCTGTTCGTTGTTTGTTTTAAATATGTTGAATTTTCTATTTCAAATGAAGATGATTTGAAGATGTATGAGTTTTTTAGCAGTGATCTAAGAATATGCCAAGCGAGCTATGGTTTGCACTGCCGACGATTTACAAGAATGGAAAGACTTTCCTAAGGGTCTGAGGGTTCTTCTCCTTGATCGGGACAGCCGCTCCGCTACCGAGATAAGAGCAAAACTTGAGGAAATGGAGCATGTTGGTGAGACATTTCGCACTCCCCATTTTTTTTCTGTTCAAGATGTTTTTCTGTTAAAGATCCTCTTTCACTTAAGGCACTCTTAAACTAGGCTTACTTTGGCCAAGGCCAAAATAAAACTTCCTACCAAAATAGAAAATTAATGAAAGTTCACTTACCAAAACTATGTTTAAACTTTTTCTTTTAAAAAGATATGTAACAATAATCAGATATATTGTGGGTGAGTTGCAGTTATGAACGGATAGAAAATGCACTCCTACTTTGTACGACGACTTTAGAGTTTCATTATTTCTTCCACAAAATGTGTGTTTCCAAATATTAATTTGTTGAAGATCTGACTTCTCTCTATTATGATGCCATTTCCACGTTCTCTCTATTCCTTTAAGAAGTTTTCTTTCTAGTTTCTTTTCTATTATATAAAGATTTCACTTCTGTGTTAAGAAGTTTCACTTCGCATATTGCAGTCTATTACTGTAATGATGAGAAGGAAGCTTTGTCAGCGATTATGAACACACCGGAAAACTTCCATATTGCAATTCTGGAGGTATGGCTAGTCACTTCCATAATGGAATTATGCATGTAGGCCGTAAGCTGACTCCTTAAGTTCGCTTGCTTGATAATATCCAGTTCTCGTGAGGATTGGACCATTTTCAGCAGTAATTTAACTGTTATTGTTTATTTCCTTCAACTAACTTCGTTAAATTCTTTTTCATTTCTCTCATCATTTTCAAATTTTAGTTCCTTATTGTTCTTGTAGTAACATTTAAATTCTTGGTTCCTTCTCTGATTCAGATGTGCGAAGGAAATTATGATGAGAGTTTTAAATTGCTTGGAAGTTCCAAGGACTTGCCAATCATAAGTAAGTTAACAACCAAAACTGGTTTCTTCTCAAAGGAAAAAAGACGGTTTTGAATAGCGAACTGTGGGAAGTTTTTGAA